TGCGAGACATGAGATCACCTGTGCGAGACATGAGACCGCCTGTGCGAGACATGAGACGGCCTGTGCGAGACATGAGATCGCCTATGCGAGACATGAGATCACCTGTGCGAGACATGAGATCGCCTGTGCGAGACATGAGACCGTTTCTGCGAGACAAAAGACCGCCTGAGCTTGACATGAGCCCGCCTGAGCGAGACATGAGATCGCCTGAGCGAGACATGAGACCGCTCCTCTGCGAGACATGAGATCACCTGTGCGAGACATGAGACCGCCTGTGCGAGACATGAGACCACCTGTGCGAGACATGAGATCACCTGTGCGAGACATGAGACCACCTGTGCGAGACATGAGATCGCCTGAGCGAGACATTAGACCGCCAGTGCGAGACATGAGACCGCCTGAGCGAGACATGAGACCACCTGTGCGAGACATGAGATCGCCTGAGCGAGACATGAGACCGCCTATGCGAGACATGAGATCACCTGTGCGAGACATGAGACCATCTGTGCGAGACATGCGATCACCTGTGCGAGACAAGAGACCGCCTGTGCGAGACAAGAGACAGCCTGTGCGAGACATGAGACCGTCTGTGCGAGACATGAGATCACCTGTGCACGACATGAGATCTCCTGAGCTAGATGCCTGAGCGAGACATGAGATCTCCTGTGCGAGACATTAGACCACCTGTGCGAGACATGAGATCGCCTGAGCGAGACATGAGACCGCCTATGCGAGACATGAGATCACCTGTGCGAGACATGAGACCATCTGTGCGAGACATGCGATCACCTGTGCGAGACAAGAGACCGCCTGTGCGAGACAAGAGACAGCCTGTGCGAGACATGAGACCGTCTGTGCGAGACATGAGATCACCTGTGCACGACATGAGATCTCCTGAGCTAGACAAGAGACCACCTGTGCAAGACAAGAGATGGCCTGTACGAGACATGAGAGCACCTGAACTAGACAAGACAGCGCCTTTGAGAGACAAGAGACCACCTGTGCGAGACAAGAGCCCACCTGTGCTAGACATGAGACCACCTAAGCTAGCCAGACATGATGAAGAAGGCTACAGTCGTGTTGATTATGGAGAATGTGACAAGGGCCACCGTTTTTCTCATGATCCAAGAAGGGGCTCACCTCACAAAGGAGATGATTCTGGTTACAGACGGTCAAGAGGTCATCATTTTACAAGGCAAAAGTCTGAATACAGGAACATGAGAGATGCCTTTAGAAGGAAAAGTTTCTACTCTTCCCAATATTCAAGAGATCGGTCTCCCCATAAAAGGGATGCTTCTTTCTTCAGAGAGTCACCTGTAGGCCAGAAGGAGTCATCACACAGGAGATCTGGCTCCAGTCTCAGCAGTAGAAGTTACTCTCCAGAAGGAAGCAAGACAAGCTCCTTCCATCAGTCTCAGTACACAAGTAAAGAGAAGTCCATTCAGTCTTCAAAAACATCAGGAGATACTTCACCCTCAAGGTCTTCAGAAGTTTCTTCATCCAAGGTATTAGACCAACCCAGCTGGCTAACTGAGAAGGAACTGGCTGAGGATGCAAGCAAGTGGGATAAGGGAAAGCCAGAGAAGGCCGATGAAAACACCTCGATTGATAGTTCTGAGTTTGAGACGGGATCCACTGGACCCGTATTTATTGACCAGACAGAAGAACCCGAGTCGAACACAACAGATGGCACAGAATTGTGTAAAGACAGCCAGCTTAGCAGTCGCTCTAAAGCCATTGCATCAAAAACCAAAGAGATTCAGCAGGCTTACCGACAAGACTTTGAAACTTTTGGCATGGTAGTGAAAATGCTAGTTGACAAAGAACCTTCATTAGAAAAATCGATACAGTTTGCATTGAGGCAGAATTTACAAGAAATGGGTGAACGATGTGTTGAAGAACTCAAACGTTTCATTACTGAGTATGACAATTCTACTCAAGATTCTGGAGACCGTTTTTAGAAGAATTGGTGCCCAGGTCAAAATTTTTTTTAAGTTTCTAGATTATTTTCTCCTTGGATTGTTTAAATCCTTACTATTTTGTGATGAAGAGAAATACTTTATGATAGCTGACCACATTTCTAGTATCAAATAAACATCTACAATAGCTTTTGAAGTAAAAAAGAAAAGACTTTCTTATCCCTAGAACATGTTTCAAGCTTAGCACCCCAATCTAATGATGTGAAAACAACAGGAATATTCTACAAAATACCTGACCAATCCTCCTCAAAACTCTCATGATCTTACGAAACCAAGAGAAGAAAGAAGCATGTTGTCACAGCTGCAGGGAATGCAGAGAAATGTGATAGATCAGTATGCAGTGTGGTGCTTTGCATGGGACCCTGGACAGAAAGGGGGCAGCTATTTGGAAAACTAGAGAAAACCAAATAAACTCCAATGTTTAATTACTAATAAACTGACAGACTTGGATTTCTTTTTTTCCTCTGGATTTTTTAAATTTACGTAAGAAACAATCTTATATTAAATAGCAATCCCAGTTCCCTCTCCCTCCCTCCTCCCATGGTCCACACCAACCCCACCGTCCCGTCTCCCTTCTGTTCCCCAGGGAGGTGAGGCCTTCCACTGGGGGATCATCAAAGTCTGTTACATCATTTGGGGAAGGGCCTAGGCCCTCACCCTTGGGTCTAGGCTGACAGAGTATCTCTCTATAGGGAATGGGCTCCCAAAGTCCATTGGTACACTAGGGATAAATACTGTTCCACTACCAGTGGCCCCATAGACTGCCCAGGCCTCCTGATACCCATGTTCAGGGGACATGGTTCAGTGCCATGCTGGTTTCTCAGCTGACAGTCAGGGGACCATGAGCTCCCCCTTGTTCAGGTCAGCTGTTTCTGTGGGTATTCCCAGCCTGCCTTGACCCCTTTGCTCATCACTCCTCCCTCTCTACATCTGGATTCCCGGAGTTTGGCTCAGTGTTTAGCTGTGGGTGCCTTCTTCTGCGTCCATCAGTTACTGGATGAAGGCTCTAGGATGGCCATTAAGGTAGTCATCAATCTCGTTATAGGGGAAGAGCATCAAAAGCAGCCTCTCCACTACTACCCAGATTCTTAGTTGGGGTCATACTTGTGGATCTTTGAACTTTTCCCTAGTGCCAGATTTCTCTTTTAACCTATAATGGCTCCCTCTATTAAGTTTTCTCTTTTGTTTCTCTCCTCTATTCCTCCCCTGTCTCAGTCTTCCTGATCCCTCCTGTTCTCCCCCCCTCCTCTTCTCCATTTCTCTTTACTACTTTCCTCCCCTCTCCCCCTGTGCTCCCAATTTGCTCAGGGGTTCTTGTCCCTTTCCCCTTCTTTGGGGGGCCATGTGTTTCTCTCTTAGGGTCATCCTTGCTTCCTAGTTTCTCTGGTGGTGTACATTGCAGGCTGATAGTCCTTTGCTCTATGCCTCATATCCACATATGAGGGAGTAAATACCATGCTTGTCTTTCTGTGACTTGGTTACCTCACTCAGGATGGTTTCTTCCAGTTCTATCCATTTGCCTGCGAATTTCATTGTTTTTTTTCTCACTGAGTAATACTCCATTGTGTAAATATACCACATTTTCTTCATCCATTCTTAGGTTAAGGGGCATGTAGGTTGCTTCTATGCTCTGGATATTACAAACAACACTGCTTTGAGCATAGTTGAACATATGGCTTTGTTATATGAATGTGCATTCTTTGGGTATATGCAGAAGAGTGGAATTGCTTGATCTAGAGTAGGCTAATTCCCATTTTCCTTAAAAATCACCCTACTGATTTCCAAAGGTCTGCACAAGTTGGAACTCCCACCAGCAATGGAAAAGTGTTCCTCTTTCTACACATCCTCTCCAGCACAGATTGTCATTGGTGTTTTTCATTTTTGCCATTCTGGCTGGTATAAGATGGTATCTCAGAGTTGTTTTTATTTGCATTTCCATGATGGCTAAGGATGTTGAGCACTTTCTTAAGTGTGTTTCTGCCGTTTTAGATTGCTCTATTGAGAATTCTCTATTTAGTTCTCTACCCTACTTTCTAATTGGAGTGTTTGGTGGTTTGGAGGCTTGCTTCTTGAGTTCTTTGTAAATTTTGGAGACCAGCCCACTGTCAGATGTGGAGTTAGTGAAGATCTTCTCCCATTCTGTGGGCTGCCCTTTTGTCTTGTTGACTGTGTCCTTTGCCTAACAAAAGCTGCTTAGTTTCAAGAGGTCCCATTGTCCATCTCAGTGTCTGTGCTGCTGGTGTTATGTTCATGAAGCAGTCTCCTGTACAAATTCGTTCGAGGATACCTCCCACTTACTCTTCTAAGAGGTTTAGTGTGCTTGGATTTATGTTGAGGTCTTTGATCCATTTGGACTGAAGTTTTTTGCATGGTGATACATATGCTTCTATCTGTAATCATCTACATGTCCAAATCCAGTTATGCCATCACCATTTGTTGAAGATGCTTTCGTTTTTCCATTGTATAATTTTTGCTTCTTTGTTAAAGATCAGGTGTTGTACATGTGTTGGTCCATATCAGGGATTTTAATTCAACTCCATTGGTCTATCTGTCCATTTTTATGCCAATACCAAGCTATTTTCAGGACTATAGCTGTATAATAGAGCTTGAAGTCAGGGGTGGTGATGCCTCCAGAAGTTTCTTTATTGTACAGGGTTGTTTTGGCTATCCTGGGTCTTTTGTTTCTCCATATAAAGTTGATAATTGTTGTTTCAAGGTCTGTCAAGAGTTGTGCTGGTATTTTGATGGGGATTGCATTGAATCTGTAGATTGCTTTTGGCAAGATTGCCATTTTTACTATGTTGATCCTACCTATCCAAGAGCATGGGAGATTTTTCCATTTTCTGGTGTCTTCTTTAATGTCTTTCTTTAAAGACTCAAAGTTATTTGTTATACAGGTCTTTCACTTGTTTGGTTAGTGTTACCCCAAGATATTTTTATGTTGTATGTGGCTATTGTGAAGGGTGATGCTTCTCTGATTTCTTTCTCAGCCCATGTATTGTCTGTATATAGTAGGGATACTGATCTTATTGAGTTAATTTTGTATCCTACCACCTTGCAGAAGGTGTGTATCAGCTGTAGGAGTTCCCTACTAGTTTTTCCAGTCACTTATGTAAACTATGTCATCATCTGCAAATGTGAAAGCTTGACTTCTTCCTTTCCAATGTGCCCTTGATTTCCTTTTGTTGTCTTATTGCTCTAACTAGAACTTCAAGTAAAATGTTGAAGAGATATGGAGAGAGTGGACAGCCTTGTCTTGTTCCTGATTTTAGAGGAATTGCTTTGTTTATTTCCATTTAGTTTGATGGTAACTGTTGGTTTGCTGTATATTGCTTTTTATTATGTTTAGTGTCTTCCTGTTATCCCCGATCTCTCCAAAACCTTTATCATGAAGGAGTGTTGGATTTTGTCAAAGGCTTTGTCAGCATCTAGTTAGATGATTATGTGGTTTTTCTTTTTCAGTTTTTTTTTATATGGTGGATTACATTGATGGATTTTCGTATGTTGAACCACCCCTGGATCCCTGTGACTACTTGATACTGGTGGATGATTTTTCTGCTGTGTTCTTGGATTTGATTTGCCAATATTTTATTGATTATTTTTGAATCAATGTTCATGAGGGAGATTGGGCTATCGTTCTCTTTCTTAGTTATGTCTTTCTGTTGTTTGGGTATCAAGATAATTGTAGCCTCATAAAAAGTGATTGGCAATGACCCTTCTTCTTCTATTGTGTGGAACATTTTGAGGAGTATTGGTATTGAGCTGTTCTTTGAATTTCTGGTAGAATTCTGCATTGAAACCATCTGGCCCTGGGCATTTTTTTGTCTGGCACACTTTAGATGATTGCTTCTATATCTTTAGGGCTTATAGGTCTATTTAAATTGCTTATCTGTTCTTGATTTAACTTTGGTATGTGATACTTATCCAGAAAATTGACCATTTCCTTTAAGTTTTCCAATTTTGTAGAGTACAGGTTTTCAAAGTATGACTTGTTGATTCTCTGAATTTCCTCAGTGTCAGTTGTTATGTCCCCCTTTTCATTTCCTATTTTGTTAATTTGCATGTTCTCACTGCCTTTTGGTTAGTTTGTATAAAGTTTGGTCTATCTTGTTGATTTTCTCGAAGAACTAACTATTTGTCTCAGTAATTCTGTGTGTTGTTTTCTTTGTTTCTACTTTATTGATTTCAGCCCTCAATTTGATTATTTTCTGGCATCTACTCCTCCTGCATGAGTTGCTTCCTTCTGTTCTAGAGCTTTCAGGTGTGCTGTGAATTCTTTAATGTGACTATTCTCTAGTTTCTTCATGTGGGCACTTAGTGCTATGAGCTTTCATCTTAGCACTGCTTTCAAAGCTTCCCACCAGTTTGGGTATGTTGTTTCTTCATTTTCATTGAAGTGATATCTATCCAGAAAGTTGATCATTTCCTTTAATTTTTCATATTTTGTTGAGTACACATTTTCAAAGTATGACATGATGATTCTATGGATTTCCTCAGTGTCTGTTGTTATTAAATATTTCTAAGGTCTTTAATTCCTTTTTTATTTCTTCCTTGACCCAGGAATGATACAATTTCACCTTGTTCAATTTTCATGAGTTTTGAGGATTTCTCCAATTTGTGTTGTTGTTGAATTCTAACATTAAACCATGGTGATATGATAAGATACAGGGTTTATTTTTACATGTACTTTTTCCCACCAACCACTTCAGCCCCCTAAAAACAGATGAGATACTTTATTAATTATAATGCTGTTGGCTGGTTACTAGGATTTCTGATTGCTAGCTCTGTCTTAAGTATTAACCCTTAACTACTAATAGATGCATTTCTTTTTTTATCCTGCAGATTTTTAATTTGAATTAGAAATATGATTGTTTTACATGACAAACCCAGTTCCCTCTACCCCCCCTTCCCCTACCACCCTCCCCCAACTAAAACCCTACCTATCCCATATCCTTTCTGCTCCCCCTGGATGGTGAGGCCTT